CTAGTTTTTACTTTACTTTAGCCTGCAGACCACTAATAAGTTACCTAGCTTTTACTTTACTTTAGCCTGCAGACCACTAATAAGTTACCTAGCTTTTACTTTACTTTAGCCTGCAGACCACTAACAAGTTACCAGCTTTTACTTTACTTTAGGTTCCAGACCACTAGCAAGTTACTTAGCTTTTACTTTACTTTAGCCTCCAGACCACTAGCAAGTTAGTTAGCTTTTACTTTAGTTTAGCCTCCAGACCACTAGCAAGTTACCTAGCTTTTACTTTACTTTAGCCTGCAGACCACTAACAATTTACTTAGCTTTTACTTTACTTTAGCCTCCAGACCACTAACAAGTTACCTAGCTTTTACTTTACTTTAGCCTGCAGATCACTAACAAGTTACTTAGCTTTTACTTTACTTTAGCCTCCAGACCACTAGCAAGTTACCTAGCTTTTGCTTTGGTTTACTTTAGTTACCAGACCACTAACAAGTTACCCAGCTTTTACTGTAGCCTGCAGACCACAAAACCTAGCTTTTACTTTATTTTACTTCAGCTTCCAGCCTAATAACAACTCGCTTAGCTTTTAATTTATTTTCTAGACTGGTAATAACTCATTTAGCTTTTACTTCATTATACTTTAGCCTTCGCCAGTAATTTGTATATTCTTTGCTTCGCAATCTAAGTTAGTTTAGAACTTATCAAAGCAAGTATAATATGCTATTTACAAAGTTCAGTTGCGAAAGATCAGGGGAAAATCAGCACGATTTTTCTACATAATGATCTATCATCTTTTTATTTGTTAATTTAAAATTATTTTAAATCGAGCTGTTTTGTGTTTCATAGAACCTTAAATATTCATTATTTACAACTCGTGTATAGCGTAATTGCTAGTTAAAGTGAAAGAAATGTCGAATGTTCAGTTTTTTTGAAGATGGAAACTCTATTAAAGATCCCCACTTCAAAAACACTGTTTTTCATACATTATAAGGACGCAATCTTAATTGCGAATCATGACATCTATAGTAATGTTTAAAAACGGCGTACAAAATTATTACGTCTCAAGAGCCATAAAAAAAAAGAAGGCATGTATACTTTTGGCTGTAATTCACATTGGGAGAGTATATAATACAAGCCACCCCAAGATATCTCG